TTGGTCAAGTTAAGTTATGCACTTGAGCATTTTCTTAATTAATGTCCATATTTTATTTCAATTTGTTTTCATACTATTTAGCGTTTAGTTATTTATTTATTTATTTATTTATTTATGTTGCAAAGGTTTTTGTTTATAACGGAATTTATGCAGGTGAACGGGAATTTACAATGAGTTTTTACCTTGAATTCAATTTGTGGTAAATCAAAATGAGATAAAAGAAGCTGTGCGAGTTTCATGAAAATTAAAGTTGATTTGTGTATTGAATATAATTTTTAATAATTTATATACCCAAATTCTTTTTCTTTAATTTATATGTAAACAAATATTACTAATAGTCTTCAAATATATATAGATTTCATTTCATAAACAAACAAATCTCATATGTAAGGCTATGAATAATAATAAAATAATTTATCAATATCGTTTAACACTTGAGACAAAAACTCTCTTTTTTGAAAGATATAATATAAAACATAAAATGCAAATGATTAGCGATCATTAGCTAAGAGAGTAGTAAGAGAAATTTCATCTCTGTCTCTCTCTCTCTCTCTCACTCTAAATGCTCACATCTCCATGTCTCAGCATCTGCCCATAATCTTAAGTTGAGTGTTAAGTCCCAATTGAAAATGAAAATCGATTGAGTTTTACAGCTTGCATAACGTGCCATAAATTGCATTTGAATTTCTCCAAGAGGCGTTTGTCTATCTCAGCCGACGAATTGAAGTGCGCCCAATCAGATTTGCATTGAACAATTAATTTGTGTTGCAAATGCGTGAATGACAGTGAGTGTTTTTTTTTTTTTTTTTTATAAACTAACAATGATACTTGTAGACATTTGTCGAGGCGAAGGCAAAAGCAAAGGTAAATGCAAAGGCAAAGGCAAAGGCAATGCCAGCTCAAAGCATTTCCATTTTCATTTCCATTTCCAATTGCAATTGCAATAGCATTTCCATTGCCATCAACATTAACTAACCAGACGAGTTGCTGGCAGTTTGTTTTGGTCTGGTCGAGCCGAAACTCGTAGCTGAAGTTGATGCCTGCTCCAAACCTGGCCAAATGCTGATGAACTTGTTTGCAGCGCCTACGGCGGCCAACACGAAAAGTGAATGGGAGCAGGGCGGAGAAGGGGGACAGGGGGCAAGTCAGAGGGTGGGCAGCGGTTTGTCGCTTTAACAATTTGGCTAAAGTTTAATAAACTTTATGAAATGTGGTCCTGAGTGGAAAATGCGGGAAATGCAGCCATCGAACGTCGACGAACGGCAACGACACCAAACTTCAATGGCAGCGCAGCAGCCGGAGCAGCCGGCTGAGGGGAGGGAGCGTCTGCTGGCTGATAAAGGAAATTCAAGGAAAAGCCATTAAGCAGGAAGCGATTCGAACACATTAGAAAGTTGATGCCAAAAATTACCAGAGGAAAAACCTATGTGAACAGCTATAAACATATGATTTAAATGGGACTTGACTAGGCAGAAGATTATAGATTTATATTACATGTCTCTAATATCTATAGTCTAAGCCAGTGGCATATGATAAATCAGAGTATAATAATTTCCTTTGATTGGTGTTATTAAATGTATGTAATAGGCAGGAAGAGGCGTGGCAGATCATATAGAGTATAGATTATTGATCAAACTGGGTTGATTTAGCACTGTTCGCCCCTCTGCCCGTCCGTCTGCTCGTATCGTCAGCATTTTATTGGGATTTATGCATTAGAATATCAGTTCTTCGAAGAGTTCAGGGAATCTCCTAGTGGATCTCCCTTTAAGGCACTCTTATGTATTGCGCCCATCAAACGGAGCTAAGTTTAACATTGTAATCCAAGAGAACCCTCTTAGATAGCCCAAAACACTTCGACTTGCAAGAGATTTACATTTAGAAATTTAAGAAGATGTAGAGGGAATTTATTTCGTTTTCTTACGTTTAATTCAGTTTGCAAGAGATCTATATAAGTATATAAAGAGTTTTATTTCGCTTCAATTCCTCCCTTGGTTTTTTGCTCTTGTAATTTGATCCTACGAAGCTGGCTTTTGTAGATCAAGATTATTAATATTAATAAATAAACAATATACTAATCGTATTCCAATATTTTCCATGCAGTCCACTCAAAGTCAATAATCTTATATTGTAGCTTTAAGTCTCAACTAGTAATACTTTATGTCCCTCCTAGGTCTTCTTCTTCCATAAGCTTTAATAAATGTCTATATATTGTGGGAGTGTCTTTGCGCCACATCTCAGTCCAGAATCAGTAAGAGACCCAGGCACCAGGAGAGCTGGCAGAGCAGAGAAAGTGCGCAGTAAGTGGGGCGCTAAGAGGATGGCGCTGCAAGGCTTATCATTACAAATGTACACACACACACACACACACACACACACACACACACACACACACACACACACACACTACATTTATGCATATGCAAAAGTGGATCTGGATCAGAATCTGGTAATAACATGTTGTTAGCCAAGCCAGTATTTGGCTCGTATGTGTGCTGTGCACTCGAAATTGTATCTAATGGCTGCGAGTTCTGATTAATCGCAACGGCCAGGCAATCCAGGTGAGTGGCAGCAACTGCGGCAGGTTAGTAATTACCAAGTGGACTTCTGGCAGCAGCAGCAGCAGCAGTAGGAGCAGCAGCAGGAGCAGCCAGTAATGAACTGATAAGCGCATAATTAACTAGCATTGTAACCAGTTTACATTGGTATGCCTCTGTCCCAGCCTCCCTACCTCCCACCTCTCTCTTTCTCACCTGCTGCACCACCAGGTGCGCCGCGCTGGCTGAAAATATTTTAAGGCGTGTTTTACCAGACGATTTCAATAGATTTTTTTCTCTGCGTCTTTAATGACTTTTGGCCATTTGCTATGGCCAAGCTAATGGCTAATGGCTTTCGGTCGGGCTTTTGTTCTGCCTGTGAATTGGCTTTAAGATTTTGCGTTTTATTTGTTTGCAAATGGTAAATGGTAAAAAAATACAAGAAACAGCAAAACCGCTAGACCGGCCACATAATAAAGTACAGCTAGCTATGCAAAAATTAAAAATAAAAATAGAATAACTAATCTACCTGTTCACTGTTCCCCAAATGGGTCAGGTGTCACACATACCGCATGCCACATGTCACCTGCCACATATGCCACCTGGCCTATTTAATTAATTACACTCGATAAGAAATTCGTAAAGAAATTCAATTTGTTTTAATGCTAAACGATTTGTTTCTTCAATTGAAGATATATCCCTCTCTAGCTATCTAGATAAATGGAAACGAAATGAAAGTCTTCAATTGGAGTGATAGAAATGGAAAAGAAAAGCAGAATAAATTGAAATTTTAGATTGAAAGAAATTTGCTAAAAATTTATGTATGTGCTAAAATTTATATATAGTAGATAATGTTTAATTAAAAGTAACATAAAACTAAATTGATAGTTGAAAAAAAAGAAGAACATGTATGAAGTGTTTAAGAAGAAATCAAAATAAAAATGCATATTAAAAACATATAAGAACCTTCACTCGGGAGGTAGAGACTGCAGAAGAATTGATCAAATTCAAAGAACAAGTTTGTCAAATATATTTCAAGTCAAAATAAATTATTTTGTGGCAATCGCCGTAAAGGCATTTGAATTGTTTTATTGCTTTATTTAATTGCACTTAATTCGTAATAAATATGATAAGCAGCAACTGACAACAATTCGGATCAAGCACGCATCACATTACAAATTACGACAAAATTCAGCGAACATAAAACAAGTATTAAAGTTGCACTGGAATGCATAATACTGACTGCATAATACTCGTTAGTCGTCAAAATAACTCTGCCTTGGAAAAGAGACAAAGTGGATAGATAGACGAGGAATTCTACTGTCTCATCCTGAAAGTGAATATGAAAGTCGAAGAAAACCAAGAAACTCATTTCACTCGGTGAGCGAGCAAAGTGAAGCATTACACATCAAGTAAATGCCAGAAAATAAGAACAAGTAGCTTTGTCGAACAACAATAAAAAAAACACATATATATATGTGCGTGTGTGTGTGTGTGTGTGTGTAAAACAATCAACAACAAGTCGGAGAATCGGAGAATTTGAGCAGAAAAACACACCTTTAAAATGCCCAATACAGGTAGAAGTGAAGAGTTCAATGCACGCAAATCGGATTAAGCAAAGAAATTAAGTAATACAGCGTGCAGATAGACAGACATAGATAGATAAATAGATAGGCAGACAGCTACATACATACATATGCCAACATGTGAGAGCCAAGCTACCGCCAATGGAGAAATGAAAATGGGAATGGAAACGGAAAACCAAATCGAACGAAATCAAACTGAAAATTGAACCGCAATGGGCGTTAGAATGTCAGGAAGTAAAGACAGGAAGCAGAACACCTCATAATTATGAACTGAATCATCATGCTTAATACTAACCAAGAGGTATTTAAAGTTAACTAATAGTATGCTGGAAATTGTATGTTAGCAAAGAAAAAGAATTACAATTTGATGTGCTAGACTAACATAGTTATACTACATGAATGTCCTAGCGGGATGCTAAAGCTAAAGCATTGCCAAAAATTGTTTGTTAAAGTTTGTGAAAAATTATTATAAAATATTAATGAATCAATTACAAAAATGTGTAAAATTATATATATTATATTTTGTTAAAAGATAAATTCGCCAGAAATAAATAGACAAGAATCAAATATTTGTATAATTATTTAATTCATATTTTACAATTATAGTTTTGTTTATTATATCTTTTTTATTTCGACATACATATATTTATTGAGGTATTTTTTTATTTTTTATTATATATTCTACTTTATTATTGTTGTGTTTTGTTTATCTTATTTTATTTTTAAAATCATATTAATATAAATTATATATAAATTTATATTTTCATCTATTTTCAGTTTGAATTAATTTTTCAATCAATTGTTATCTCAAGTTTCATTCATTTAAATTTTGGCTATAACCTATATATAATTATTTATTTATTTAATTTGCAAGACTTACCTTAAAGTTCCTTAGCAGCTGCTGCCGATTGCGTAAATCCAATTGTAAGCGAGTTAAAAGATTTGAGACACCTGTGCACACTGTTACACCTGTTGCATATCTATTAGTATATGAATTGAAACAATTTGTGTTTTGTATTTAGCTCGATTGGCAACCGTTTCAAAATGCATAAAACACGCGCAGGCGTTACGACTTTCAATACAATGTGAAGAAAACGGGCACAGAGCAAGGCCCAAGTAGCGATATAAGAAACACAACCGAACGCATCGAAGCTCGAGACTCAACTGCCGGCAGCTTTTGCGACGACTTCTGCAAGCGGCGCTCAAAAGTTGCGCCATAAAAGAAAAGCTCTCCGAGCATCATTTGCATGCGTGTGCTAACAGTAAGAGAAAGCGAGAGAGATAGAGCGCGAGAGCTTTTGCATAGCAAAAACAAGTTTTAGGCATTAATTTGCAATGCAAATAATTTCAGTCTTAAACTTCATTTAGCTCATTAAGCTCTAGGAGCAAAGAGAAAAGCTATCTTTAGCGGCAATTCAAAGCTCTTTCTCAATGTCTAACTGCACTCAAATAAAATCAATTTTGGTTCTCTTTAAATTTGTAGTAGTTTGTATTTTATTCATAAGTTCTGCTCTATTGCTTTGTAATTTATAAAATGTAAAATACGTATTAAAGCTGTCCAAAAAAATGGATTTGAAATAATTTCGTGTGTGTTGGAATGCATTAAACAATTGCACTGGACATTAATTTCTGGGGCAAAGTACAAAAAACAGAAATAAAAAATATTTGAGTACAAAAAAAAAAACAATATTAGTGCTGTCTAAGTGTTAACATTAGCGTATGAATATTTATAAACAATATCTATACCAATATCAGTTATGTTCAGACGTTAAGTAAAATGCTTTGCTTTTCTTTATCATGTTCATTACATTTGTTTTTTGCTTATGTTTTTTTTTTCGCTTAGTTAGGTGAGTAATTTGGTTTAAGTTTAAACTTGTAGTTGTTTGTTTTGTTTTGCTTTTTTCGTACGTTTTTCATTTTGTTTTGCTCTATCAACTGGTACAATTACGAAACATTAATTTACTTTTACAATTAATAATTGAATGACGACGCTTATTAAAGTTAGCCTCTTTAAACTGGATCCACATCATTCACGACCAGGGCGCAGAGTACGTACATCATTCCAGCGCTGAGCATCGCTGTCACCGGCACCGTGACTATCCAGGCGTAGGCGATGTTCCGGAACAAGTGCCAATCGACGCTGCCATCCTCCATGGCTTCCCCAGCAGCTGGCGGTGCTGCTGCATGCTGCTCCTCCAATGGCCCGCCCAGCTCCTTCTCGTGCTCCTTACGTTCGCTCTTGCGACCCGCTGCACTCACATGACCCACGAAAACCACCGAACCCACTTTGCAGTGTGTCGTCGAAATGGGCAAACCAATTTTGCTGGCCAGCAGTACGGTGATGGCGGCGCCTATTTCAATGGTAAAGCCTCTGCAAATGGAAAGATAATGAACCAATTTCATTACGATATAATAAAGCAAAGTGGAATATGAAATAGGATAACCGAATCTCTCGCTCATTTACTCACTTTTTCTCTCTATCTGTCCAAGTCTTTTTCTTATGTCTCCATTTATTTTTATGTCACTCGCCTTTGCCTTTCTCTTCTGTCCCTCTCTTTATGTTCCTATCGGCCGCTCTACGGCTTTCTCTGTGTCTGCGTCTCTGTTTTCCTTTCTCTCTCTCTCTCTCTGTCTCTTTGTTCACATATATGAGCTTCTCATAAAGAGTTCCTTGACTCTCCCCTTTCATCTCCCTATCCTATCGTTTACTTTCGAATCATTCCCTTTTCCCCACAATCATATTAGCTCTTCGTTTCCATACTTACGTTGATGAGGTGATCTTCGTTAGGTCATTGCCAATGGTTTCGATGACCCTGCGTCCCCACAGCCAGAGACCCACAGAGATGCCAATGCCGCCGTAGATCAATATATAAATGGGACTTTCTGCTTTCTGCATTACGGAGCCCTCGCGATAGATCATATAGAGGGCGATGAGTGGTCCAATGGCGTTGCTAACATCGTTGCCGCCATGCGCAAAGCTGCCAAAGGTGGCCGTCAAGATTTGAAGGAACGAGAAGAGCATGGACACCTCCTGGGTTTCCTGGCTGCTGCTGGCACGTCGACCCGCTGCACGCTTAAACTCCTCCTCCTGCTCATTGAGCGCCTCCTTGCTCTCGATGAGCGGCACCTTGCTCGAGTTTGGCGACAATGTGGTGCTGATCATTAGATCCAAGCTGCCGGCACTTTGCACCACCTGCAAATTGTTGTTGGTAGCATTGGCAGCTGTACTCGCATTAGCATTGACATTGGCATTAACATTGACATTAGCGTTAGCATTCGCACTGGCATTGCCATTGACGTTGTCCACTGTTTCCGTCTTGCGCTCCTCCTTGGGCGACTGGACACGCTTGAAGCACTCCTGGAGCTTGCGTCCATTCTGCTGGTGCTGCAATTGCTGCTGCTCATCGATGTAGTTCAGGCTGGTCACGGTCAGATCGGGATTATCCAGACTGGCCTTGCCCAGCAGATCCTCGGCCTTGCGTATTATATCTGGATCGATCTTGTAGTCCTCGGCAGTTGCATTGTTATTCTTGGCCGCGAGGCCATAAGGCGCTAGCTTAAAGGTCTTCGGCGAATTGTCGCTGAGCGAGACCAGCTCGGTGATTTCGGCAATAGCCGGCAGTGGTTTACCCTCGCTAACAAGCGAAAGCGGACGGCGCTGCTTCTTCGGACTGCCGGACGGCGAGGACTCTACGTAAAATCGTAATCGTGAGTAAATGCTGCATCTGCATCAGCGGCTGCTGCTCAATCGGCTCTCCACTTACCCACAGAGTCCTCGAAATTGAACTTGACCGGATTCTGGGCGCGCAACTTCTTGGCAATCGAGCGTCGCTGCAGCGGCACCACCACCAGCTGCGTCAAGAGCGCCACCAACAGCGAGAGTGCGACGCTGACGCTCAACGCTATCCAAGTGGGAATGTTATCCATATAGAGCACTAAAGATTAGGTACACAAATTCAAATTGTTCGGTTACTCAATCTCAACTTCTTCTTCTTCCCTTTCACTTACATTTGGGCCCATCCAGCACCACGCTGATGACATTAATGAAGAACGTAACACCGTAGAAAATGGGCAGCGAACGGAAGCCCGCCTTGAGTGGCTCCTGAGCGCGCAAGATGAAGCGGCGTATGGCCAGAAAGAGTAGAATGCTGACGAAGCCGCTCATCACTGGCGAAATGAACCACGAGCCAACGATCGTGCACAGCGTCGACCACTTCAAGCCCTGTACGCCGCGGGCCACCAGCGAGAAGCCAATGGTGGAGCCCACAATGCTGTGCGTTCCCGAAATGGGCAGCTTCAGAAATGTCGCCACCAGCAGCCAGATGGCGCTGCTCGCCAACGCGGACATGCAGCCCAGCATGAGCACCTCCTCGGCGCCCTCGTACAGGCTCACCTCCAAAATGCCCTTTCGCATTGTATCCGACACCTTGTAGCCTGCGCAGCATGGAAGACAAAAGAGATATGATGTCAGAATATAAACATCACATAAGCAGCAGACATAAACCAATAAAAATCGAACATTCTTAGAGCAGGAATCAACTGCTTACCTTTATAAGACTATTAATTTTAACCTATATTAAAGCCGAGTCAACATTGATGTGATAAATGGCGACAAATTTACACTCCACTTCGGACTTGACTGAGCTTTAAGTAACGCCATATATAAATGTTTCGAAAAGACTATCAAATCATTTCAAGATCTTTCAGAGGGCCAACTAATAAACAGCCTAATAAACACCTCTCTTTAAGGTCTACTGAAAAAGTAGCCTATACTATTAAAGCTCTTATTGAACTACTTAAAGCTCTGCTCATGATGCTATATGTGCTTTGTACTTACCAATTAAAACAGCGCCCGAAATTTCGCAGACGGTGGCCAAGACGCAAGCCTGACGTATGGTCAGAACGCCAGAGCCGACGCTAGTGCCAAAGGAGTTGGCCACGTCGTTGGCGCCGATGCCAAAGGCCAAGACGAAGGCAATGAGAAAGCCAATGATTACCATCCATAGCAGATCCGCTGAATAGCTCTCCATGATTACAACAAACTCACTTTTTCGCAAGGGTAACAAAAACACAACAAACAACTCTAGCCCCTATTCACACAGCCTAACCGTCTCGCTGTCTGTCTGTCTGTCTGTCGGACTGTTCTTGGAACTCTTTAACTAGTGTTAAATATTGAAAATTTAATGAAATTATTATAGTGTTGTGTGATGTAGAGGAAATGAAATATTACGAATTTTGTGCAAAGAAAATTAGTGCTCTTGGGGAAAACTATAAAATACAATACTACAATAATAAATGATATACGGAAAAATAATCTTAATTATTAATAATTGAAAAGTTCTTTTCAAATATTCTCTAAACAGCCATATTTGCGCTTAGACTTCATTGTTGTTATTTTCATAATGAAAAACTGAAGTAGACGCGTGCAGCACACCGAATTGAGGATACGCTGTAATCTGAGCGAAAACACCTGACGTCCTCTGTGAGCCCTTCCCTCCCTCAAGCTGAAGCTGAATGCTCAGCGCGACCTGCCTAAAAGTATGCAATAAATTACGTTAGCCTAAACACAAAACTTAGTGCTAAACTGGACTGGACACTAAATACTGATTAGAATAGATTATATTAAGTATAAAATAATAAAAACTTTGCACCCCCTCCGACTGTCTTGCTCGCTCTCTCTCTATCTCTCTCTCTTTCGATCTATAACTAACGACGAAATTCCAAAGCTCTAGTTGGAATCGAATGAAAAACTTAAAGTAAGTTTTCCTTTCTTGTTATTCGTCTTGTTGTTGTTGTTGATTGAGTGAAGTTAGTATTGTTGTTGTTGCAAAGTAGTTTCTTGTTATGTTGAATAGGAGCTGATGGTAGTCGACTTGGTTAACTGTAAAATTGAGTGTGATGAAATCTTGATGTCAAAATTTGTTGTCCACTTTATCACTCACCTGACGTTTGGGACAGCAAATTTGTTTCCACGTCAATGGGGTATTCACCATGTCTGCAATAAATGGAGAATTGTAAATATGAGATTTAATTATTAATTAAATCCTTTCGGTTATAATATATTTTTAATATTATTACAATGTAATTTTTTTGTTGTACAATGTAATCAAAGTAAAATATTTTCATAGATTAATATAGGTATATCTTACAATGGGCTAAACACATATTTAACTGGGACTTTCTTAAGTTTCCATATGAACTACCCTTGATATAGCTGCTGCCTAATGAATATAAAATATATCTTGCACTTGTAAATAACGGCGATATTCCCGACTCTGCTCCCGTGCGTACCCAGTGCGCTTTTCAATTGGAAAAACGAACTGAGGAAAAATTGCATATTGCTGAAATTGGCGCAATTTGGTTGTGCATTAAGGTCGCGCCCCACTGAGCACGTGTCCCACGCGCCTGTTAAGCTGCATGTGAATTATTTCAATGGGCTATTCATGCTCGTAAATGTCGGTCATTTGATTATTGATGTTGGCTAATAAGTATAGGAATGCTTGAACTGACCAGTTATCCGGTGTAGTTAGAGCTGCCTAATATAGGTCAGGCTTGTATAGATATATAACTTAATAAATGTCTCGTACATAGTGTTTTAATAACAATGATCATGATTATGATAATGACAATGCACGCAGTTATCCAATATGTTTTTCAGATGCTAACAGCCCAAAGCCTATATTCTATATTCTATATTCTACAAATATAGAATTTTAAAAATGTCTCCCACAAAGCTAACGATTATAATAATGAGCAAGATAATGACAATGACAATGATCATAATAGCTTCTCAATTGCTTCTACATATGCCGTGATATTTCAATAGAAATTATTGCTCTCAATTAACAGACTCGATAGTAAACTGTCAAGAATATTTTATTAAAAAAACTTTACAAGAATTAATTAAACCATGAGACTTGATATGCCTCCCATAGGACAGCTGAAAACTATTCAAACAAAGGCGGGCTGCAGACAAAAGAGCGCCACAAAAGAGACCCAAAGGACGCAGGATTAAGGGGCAAGGGGGCAAGGGGCAAGGGGGCAAGAGACGCCAACTACTAACCAGGACAATGGCTGCTTGGCTGCCTGCCTGCTGGCCAAGGTCGACACGTTGACATATGCTCGCCATATTTCCAGTAAGTAACGCCCTCCACAACCTCTATATGTACTATAACACTGATATAACCGTAGTTCTCACAATAATAGTTGGCAATTTATGGCATGTTTTGAATCGTTTGGCTATAAATAAATACTACAGCGCACGCCACAGAGGTTTGAGCAGTATTGCAGTGGCTCTAAAACTATTTTTGGGCAGTGCGTATACCCCACCTCCAGCAAAAAAGTTATATTTATAAATTACATTACGTCAAATATATTATATTTATGACTGAGCATGAAATCATATTGCTGCGACTAATTGATTTTTCATTTTACACGCAAGATCTATAAAGTTCGGCATACCCCATTTTAGTACTGCCAATCACAGAGTATATAGTTAAATTATTGATGCAAATACTATGATTTTTAACGATCCCATAAAACGGAAATCAAGTGTGTGTTTCATAAGAGTTGATATTACAGCTAACCCACAGTGTGATAAAAACCATTTACATTAAGCAATTCAAGTATTACAAGAATATTATTGATAAAATTATTATTTACATTTGAAATTCTATCTGACTTTACGATATATTGGAAATACATATGGAAAACTTTTAAAAACATTATGTATTTATATATATATATATATTATATAACTATATAAATATGGAAAAAATATTTTTATTTATTTAATATTTTTTATATTATTATCTAAATACGTAACGTATATAAAGCTATTCTGAAATTATTTATTTCATTATCAATACATTTATATCAAATAAAATGAAAATACAACAAGTAAGAAGGCTCCAGTCGAGACTGCTCGAGTCTACCTGATTTCCCATTTTCAATGGGTTCTTTTTGCTTTTGAGACACTGTAGTTTTCTTACATTTAATATATATATATATATCTAATTTTTTACACTGCTCAATAAAACTCTCATAAAATAACCTCATATATTTTGCATTATATTTTGCACAATTGCCCCACTGTGCGCATAGATAAATTATATATTATGGCCTATTGAAGCGTTTGCTATAAAATAGATTGTCATAGGTTTTCAGCAAGACACTGAGTGCGCAGTATATCTTCCCTTGAAGTGGGGTTGGGCGTGAGGCGTGGCAGCTGTTGTCGTTCTTGGTGCCAACTAAGAAGTGCATTCAATTTCGTTTATATAGAGATATTGATTTAATTTACTGCATTCCAACAAGGACGAATCTCCGCATATCCATATCCAGCGGGCAAAGTGTAAGGGGACTACCCCCGAATGGAAGAACCCGCCCTCAACTTGGTATTTTTGGGGTGGTTTCTATTTGATTTTTTCTTCTCCTGTTGTCATTCAAGTTCAAGGTCATGCAAAACCTTTACCCTTATTTTCTATATTTTGTTGTTTTCATTTTTTTAATGAAAACATTAACTGTGACTCTCAAACTGTATCCAGTGAAGCGTCGCGATTCTCCATGCAAATCAATAATATGGAATTGGAAATGCTTTCATCTATGCCTCACTGAGCCTCAACTGTCTATAAGTAATTAACAAGCACGTGCAAACATAAAGTGCAACAACAACAGCAACAACGACAACAACATACGAAGGTCTCGAATCAATTAAGTGGAAACTTTTACCAGCATGTAGCTTACATTGAAGTTCCAAGTGAATTGGAACCTTAAAGCGGGGCTTGTCGCTTATTGTTAAATGAATCAATTTTGCAAATTGAATCGATTAAGAGTGTCAACTGTACCCAATAAAACTGGAAATATGGCAAACATTAAGTTTTTAAACGCATTACCCAGATAAGACCTCTTCAAATTTGCCGCAGAAGACTTTTTCATATAAGAAATCTATAGAACTCAATGGTATTCCAAATGGAGCTTTACTATGCGATTCTCATGACAGTATTTTATACATATGTCAAAATACATACATATATATATAAGAAATTCCATATATATTTTCTGTCATATATATATACGCATATAGGTATATGTAAACATGTATAGCAAATGGCAAATGTTGTATATTTCATTTATACCAGGGCAGTCTAAAAAGTTTTCGAAATAGTTATGTATAATATAAAATATATGTACTTATAAAATATACATATGTACATATACATGAAATGTACATACGTATGCATGTATATAGCTATGCTAGTCTGCATAAATTAATATGCCTATACATATATTTATCTTTTTATTTATATATGTACATATGTATGTATGTATGCATAAAATGTTTAAATGGCATGATTGGAATGTATGCATATATGTATGTACGTATGTATGTATGTATGAACATATGCCAATCAACTGTATACACCGATTGCAAATAAATAAATAAATAACCTTCTATTGAAATGCTGCCCCCCTACTCAATTCTTATGAATTAAAATAAGACTTGTGGGTTTTTATCAATCAAAAAGTAATTGTGTTTGGTAACCAAAAGTTTTCTCCACTCCTTCCTTTCTTTACCTTCCACTTGGCTTTTTCTATTATTATACATACAAGCACACATACACACGTACATATGTCTGCATATATATCTATATCAACTGATATATGTAAATATGTTTTCTTTTCGTTTTGCTTTATTTTGTTGTACTTTTTTGAGTACAGCAAATTCACGAGTTTATCGCCTGATATGAAAACGCGTGCGAAACAAGAGAGGGCATGAACAACAATAGAAATTTTGGCAGAGCGTAAAGAACAAAAAAGAGGCAATGAGGCGAGCGACGCTTTAAAGTTCTTATTGGAAATTTATATGCAAGCACATAGATATCTATGTATATACACACACACACACGTACTTTGAGGCAGCAGCGTGGCAACAGCGAAAGCGTAGGTGGAGTAGAGTAGAAGAAGCAAACATAATTAAACGAAAAACAATGCAAAATAAGCTCAGCTTTATTGATGAAAGCCAGACATATCCAGATAGATCCAAGCAATATCCGTTAGGTGCAAAGTGCTCAAAGAGCGGGCGAGAAGGAGACAGAGGAAGTCAGCGGGAGACAGGTAAAGAGTATATCAAACGATAACTGTACTTTGACAACAGTTTGAGCTGCTATAGAGAACAAATTGAGTTATAGCCTGTCCAGCTGCCCAGGCTATAGTCTGCGACCTTGTTGGGGTTGTTGCTGCCGCTTCTGCGGCTGCTGTTGCTGCTGCGGCTGATGCCAATCACTTTGTTTACTCGTGATATAAGTACATATGTATGTACATACATATATGAGCAAAAAGAATGTATTCCTGTTTGACGTAAGCTTAAGAAAATTATATGAAATATTTCCTCTGTTAAATATACATGTATGCATGTGCCCATGTGTGTGCGTGTGTAGCTTTGTAATACAGCAACCATAGACCAATACAGTTTTACAGTCACTGCTCAGTTTATCAGCCGCAAGTTTGTTGTTGGTTTAGAATTATTTATAGCTCTTTTGAGTTAATTATCTCTTAAAATTATTAATAATCATTAAGTGCACTGAATAAACGTCTCGATGCTTCAATTCCAATAAGATGCCAATAAGACAGCCAATATTTCTGTGCGCGTGAATCATAAGCTATTGCGTATGTAGTGGTAAGTGGGAAGTGGGCTGAACGATGAAAGCTCGCTCTACAAAGGGATGACCAATTATTTTGCAGGCAAACGAAATACGTCGAATTGGAATGTGAAAACTAGAAAGTACAAGAAAAGGATAGCACGATATCGTGGTCTTTTTGTTGTGATTGCCGCATCAGAAGCAGCAGTAGTAGTAACAGTTGTAGCAGCTGCGAGGCGACATCAACAGCAACAACAACAAACTTGAAAACAGCTGCACATGGCAACAGCGCATGTCGAACTGTAATATTTTCGAACACGCCGTCCGCAAGGACAATAACTGTACCCTAAAGATAACACACAATGGATTTGCAAAAAGTACATTTCATTTGCACGAATGCAAGATCAGAAGCCAACTATTAAGCGAAATATATTGCCGCTTTCATGCCTTTAAAATTTCTATTCATTTATTGATTTTTCCGATAAAGTGTTTAAAGAGATTTGATGAGAAAGAAAAGAAGGTAATTGCTAATCTGCATGATATAGGTGTATATACACCTACACACACATTCGTACACACCATGCACAGAAATTTACGCACATACAAACATAGTCCACGCGGGCTGATAAAACGAAGAACAGAAAAATATAGACACGCGGCGCCAGCAGGACTACGCAAGGATACACAGGAGACCATATACATACACCCACTTCTATATGTACACACACTTATTGAACACGGCTCTTCGCTACTCTGCAGCTATTTCATTCTATTGGGAAACTATTCGCTACGCTTGCCACCTACATATGATTAGCATGTTGTTAACAAATGGGTTTTAATTTGCTTATTACTCACTTAAATAGCAACACTTTTCTCAAATCACAATTTATTTGACGAGAAATTGAAGCGTGATGAACGCGCGCGCACAACTGCGAGCACCGGCTTGCTGAAAAATGACGATAGTTCTCTTATATCGATATGTTCACATCATCGATAGAAAAGTTACCCAACTTAACAGCCGATAGCCATCAGTTTAACAGAAATCATATTAAAATTAATAAAGCAGCTTTTTAACAAAACTTCAAAGCACATTCTATCAAAGCTTTTGCATGCAAGCGCTTAACTGATTTTCAACCCCTTGCGACCGCTGTTAACAGTGGTCAACTACTGCGCTGTTAGTGCCGCTGTTATGTTAAGTAACATTTCAGTCTCACTTTTGTTTTTCTTCAAGCACAACAAAAACAAATCGTGACATTACAAAAAACTTTGGAAATTCCAAAACAACAAATTAAATATTTGGTTGCCAACAAAGTCGCAATGTTCCACTTTAGTGGCTTCAATATGATGTTCCCAGATGGCGGACGTAGCTTTCAAGTTACTTACAAATGCTTCTCAGTTTCTATGCTACCAGGCAATGAGCGCTCCGACGTGGAGAAAGGTGGAAAAAGTAAATAAAACTAAATATATATATTTGTATGTAATGAATGCTATACAGGCAAAGCGTTTGCTTACAGTTATCATGCCGCCATCTGCACTGGATTCACTCACTCGCCTAAATGTGGAATATCCCATGCTTTTCAAGCTGACCAACAAGAAGAAATCGCGCTCCTCTCACGCTGGCGTCTTGGAATTTGTTGCCGACGAGGGCAAATGCTATTTGCCCTACTGGATGATGGATAATCTGCTGCTGGAGGAGGGCGATATACTGAACATCGAGAGCGTCTCCCTGCAAGTGGCCACGTTCTCCAAATTTCAACCACACAGCACTGACTTCTTGGACATCACCAATCCAAAGGCCGTGCTGGAGAATGCCTTGCGTAACTTTGCCTGCTTGACCAAGGGCGATGTCATCGCCATCAAGTACAACAAGAAGGTGTACGAACTGTGCGTGCTGGAGACCCGACCTGGCGACGCCGTCAGCATCATTGAGTGTGATATGAATGTGGAATTCGAAGCTCCGGTGGGCTATAAGGAGCACAGCGAACAACAGCCGGCTACACAGTCAGGTGGCCAAGCTGCAGGCGGGAATGACGCAAGTGCAGGCGGTGCTGTGCACGAGGAGCTGGTGGAGACCTTCAAAGGCTCCGGCGTGCGTCTGGATGGCAAAAAAAAGAAGGACAGCCAGCTGGAGACGCCGGTCCTCAAAAAGGTCTTGCCGCGCGGCGTTCCCGATTACGATTACCAGTTCGGTTTGCTGCGCTTCGATCGCTCCATCAAACCAATCAGCGATCGCGGCCAGGAGGATGCCGAGGCGACCGGCGAAGCGGCTGGCGCCGATACGGACAGCTTCCATGGCACTGGCTTCTCAATGAAGAAGACGCGCAAATAGTATGTAATCGCCTCTCACATAATTCTTTAATCGTATGTTGCACATGGCTCACATAGCAGCAAATAGCAAAAGTAAGAAATGAAATTCCCGCAAAAACAAATGTCCAAAGTTTCCAAATTATTCTACAAATTGAGGGTCAGCTTTAGCTCCGGCTCCTTTGGCAGTGGTGGCGGCGCTACCGTCGTCATGGGCGGCAGTCGCCGTATCTTCCTACCATGCTTGCCTTCCTTTCGCTTCCACAGACCAGACCGGGGCCGATTGCCCAACTCTCGCATGCGTTGCGCGCTGCCCACATGCTCCTTGTTGTGTTCCACATTCGATAAGCGTCCCACCGTGGCCATGCAGGTGCGATCGAAGGCAAACTCCCGTTTGGAGGGCAACTGCACCACCACCTTGTCATCGAACTTGCGCAGAATGGTGCCAAAAGTGCCGGCGGCATGGATCAAATGGCAGGGCTGGCCGGGATTCTTTTCCAGGCAATGAATGCGTGTGCCCACGGGCAGGGCGCCCAACGGATAGGCATCGCCGTCATTCGGTCGAACTGTAATGCCAAGATTCTGATAAAGTTGCTGTGGAAACAGTTTGGCTCATCGGCTCACCTGGTATACGTGGAATCACACGCGACGTTTTCAGTATATCGCCCACTCGCATATTCTCTGTGGCCAATATATACTTCAACTCGTCGCCGACAGCAACTAGTGCCACCTTTGCTGTGCGGCAGCCATCGTGAAGCAGCTCCACAACGATCTCCTCCTGCGGGGCTCCTTCGCTGGGCCCATCGCGCACCCATTTGATCCAACGATATTGCTGTTTGATGCCGCCGCCAATGCCCTTGGCGACCATACGACCGCTCACGGGATCACGGCCAGCTAAATGGGTTATCTTCAGAGGTGCCACCGTATATTCATCCGGAAAATGAACTATACGCCGGAATTGCTGCCCGGCACCTGGCTTGGGTTTCTCGACCACCTTCGTCTTGGTACGCAACTGTTGGAACACAGATAATGCACCGCGCTGCTGCGGTGTTAATGTGCATTTGCTAAGCAGGCGTGTGAGACTTTGCATTTTCACAGAAAATTCCTTTTAATTGTATCTCATGCAAATTGGTTACAAAACGGTACCATTAACAGACTTTCAGCACACTGTTAGCAACAGCTGGAAACAAAGTGTGGCCAGGCATCGCAAATTAGTTGAAATTATTTGGTTGGAAAAAATTTCATAATCAGGGCTACAGTGAACGACTCTGCTTCTTCTTTATCGTCACGTCGTGTGGGCAGCTGCTGCGGAGCGCGCTGCTAGCAAATAAGAATTGAAAAAAACCGCATTAAAATTGTGAAAAGTGCACAAATTAAGTTAAAAGTAAACATATATATTAGGTGTAAATTGAATTTGTTAAAAAATTTGCATAAAGTACACAGCGAAAGCGGCAGTAAAAAAGGTACGAAAAAATAATAATAAACAAGGCGAACGAGCCGATAGAAAGAAAAATAAGATACACACACAAACATGCTGTTGATACACACTCACGCACACAATATCACACACACACGCTCAGTGTCGAACGAACTGCACGAAAAACGTGTTGTGTGCTAAATTTTCTGTGCAAAAAATAGAAAACGCAAAAACAAAAAGTAGCTAAAGCAAAATAATAATAAAAAGCGAAAAACAAAAACAGTTGAGTTTGATAATCAATCGTAAGGCGAATGTAACAAAAACAAACAATAGTATGTATTAATTAATATGGACAGAACAGTAAAAGTAAAATAAGGAGAATATAAATAAAATGTATTTGTTATTTTGGAACATGTTAGATGATGTACATACATCTCGTATGTGGAACTGTGTGCGTAAATGCGTATGTGCATGTGCGTGTGTGTACCCTTAACTGTGTGTACATATTTTGGTGTTAGGTGGAAAAAAAGCGGGCGGCAAGTTTACGCAATCGCCGTCCAACGAACGAAGCAACAAACATATTTACATACATATATGTATGTATGTATGTATGTATGATGTACATACGGCGTTCGTTGTGAAAAGTGTGCTTTCTGTATGTTTACGCTTTTCGTCTGTCCTTTTGTCCGCAGTCGCCGCAATAAGTGAGAGACAAACAAGACACATGCATACATATTTACATTTTTCACATGCATACATACAGAGATATGTACCTATGTATGTATGCACAAATGTACGTATACTCAAGCAGGTGGAGTCGCGCCGACGTCGTTTGTTTTTGATTTTCTTTTTGTTTTTTGCTTTTCGGTTCCGTTGCTAGCTGAAAAAATCAACGAGCGGCATTTTTACGCATTTTCAATATGCCTCATCTATATGAGTATGTGTGAGGGCTTGTTTATGTATGTATGTATATGCGCGCGCTCTTGTTCGGTGTATATATATATATATGTATGTGTGTGTATTTTGGTGTTTTTATTTATTTATTGTGTTTCTGTTTTGCTGATGCGAGGCAGCATCGGCGTAGCAGTGACCTAACGACGTATGTATATATGCTTGAATGTATATTTAACTGTTTGTGTGTGTGCGCGCGTGTGTGTATAGGTGTTTGCTTTGTTGTATTTATTTTATAGCATTTTATTTACGTTGTTTTCGTTAATTTTATTTTGGTTTCATTTTGCATGTTAGCGCATGCAAGCTCGCTCGATCGATTGAATGGGAGCCATGTGAGGACTTAGCTGAGCTGCTTGACAAATTTACGTATGTATGTTTGTATTTAAATTACATTTACATACGTATGTATATTATCATGTATAAGTAAATACATTCATTCATATATGAGCTGTGTTCATACAGACAAGTATACATACATATAACAATGAGGATTGTCTATAAAAGACAAAAACAAAGTGAACACGCTACTGCCAGTGCTGCCAACTGAAGCCCATAAGCTTCTTACCAAAAGTGTAACTGTCAAGTGTAGAGTTGCCAATTCGATATTGATGAATATTGATGCTTAAGACTTTCGAGCTCTGTCGATTAAAAAATCAATGTAATTATTGTTATTGTTAATACAAGAGCACTTCTGCAGTAGCAATTATTTTAAAGCTTCTGTAATGATATAGGTTATACAAATTGGTACGATTTGATTGCTTATAAGAAACAATGCATGTTTATTTTAGATATGTATTTGTGTTTGTGGTCAGTTGTGCGTGTAATCTGTCTGTGTGTGCATGAATATGAGCACGTTTTCATTACTTTTGCACATTTGGCAACACTGGCGTAACAGAAAACGCAAACAACGAGACTGACAAATTGTCAGGCGTAAACAGAATGATGCTACACTGAACGCATTGCGCGCGCGCTCCTCAATACTCAAAATAATGAATATTATCTTAAAACCCAATAGCTTGCCGAACTTAATTTTGTATGCATATGTAGTTCTGCAGCCGGCAGCTGCTCCAACTGAGAGCTATTTGGGGACTTTCGTGCTCTCTTTCTCTTTAACACTTACCACTCTCCGACTGCTGCCCGGGCTAGCCGATACCGCATAAAGAGTGAGCGCACGCGCGTGCAATACGTCTCCCAACGCATTGTGTTTTGCTATGAACTGTATGTACTCAATTCGTATGCTCGTATGCATGTGTGTGTTTGCGTGTACATGTGTTCGTTTACTCACGTAGTGCCGCAACGTAGTAGTAGTAGTGTTATTATTGTTTTTATTGTTGTGCCGAGCTGTTTTTGTTTTTGCTTGTTGCCGAGTGCGAGTCGGTTTAATATGTGTGTAAATATGTATAAGGAGTGTCTGTTTGTATGCATGCATGTGAACGGCTATGGTAGCAAAACATAACCAAAGCAAAAGGGGGAAAAAAAACTGAAAAAAGTACTTGTTTTTGTTGCGCTCTCTGCGAAGTAGGAGACTGAGACAAACAGCCCAAAGAGTGCTTTATATATGTATGTATGTCTATATATGTGTATATATACATGTGTATTTGGGAAATATATTTGCGTTTCCTTTTTTATTTGCTATTACTGGCGAAAAGCCTTGAGCATAAAAGAGTCCAAAAAACACGCGTGAAAAGCTGCTGAACTATGTATGTATGTATATATTATACAGTCGGTGTGCAACACGCGCTTTGTCAGTTTTATTTACAACACTTTAAAGCGCGCCGCATACAGAAAAAGGCGAGAGCGCAAGAAAACGAAAGACAAAAAGAAAAGAAAATAAACAAAAACAATGAAATGCTGGTGTGTGTGTATGAGAGAGAGAGATAGATAGAGAAAGAGCGGGGGAGCAATATTTTCTTGTTTATTTGCACTAATTACTTAAACGGAAGAACAATAATAGTAATAAATGAAATTTTCAGTTAAACTACAGCAACAACAACAACAACAACAGGAAAAGCAGCAACAGTAGTCAGTGCGCAAGTGGATACCTCTCAATGGCCGCCACTACAACAACAACAACATTATTAGCAACAACCATCAATATAAGCAACAACAACAACAGCAACGGCAGCAGCAGCAATAATAGCAATAACCATAGCAATCCTAACAACATCCACAGCAACAACAACAACAACAACAATCATATTGTAACGGTACACACCGTTCTAAACACACCCACCTCCGCAGCAGCAGCAGTAGCGAGCTCTGCAGACGCGGCAACTGTTGCCGCTGCTAAGGACATGCTGCAGCTTCACCATGGCGCCGCTGCAGCGTTAAATAACAATAACAATACCAATACCAATAATAATACCAGCGCCGAATTGGCTAACAATAATCAAAATAGTAACAATAATAACAGCAACAACTTAGCAAACCACCCACCTGCCCATGAAGTCGTCTCCTTAAGCTCCTCTCCACCGGAGAATGCGTATGGTGTGCTGCGCTTCAACGAGGATCTGCTCCATATAACGGACGAGGTGACCGTCATTGGACGCAACTCATCCACATCGCTGGTGCACTTCAACGTAGCCGAGAACAATTTGGTCTCTCGGAAACATTTCCAGGTGCTCTACGATCCGGAGCGCCGCGCCTTCTTTGTGCAGTGCCTCAGCAAAAATGGCATATTCGTTGATGACTTTCTACAGCGACGCAATGTAGATCCACTGCGACTGCCCCAGCGGTAAATGCTTTAACTAAATGATC